ACCAAAAACAGAGCAGAGAATCAAAATGTAGACCCAGGACTGAGGCTGTAGACCCAGGACTGAGGCTGTAGACCCAGGACTGAGGCTGTAGACCCAGGACTGAGACTGTAGACCCAGGACTGAGGCTGTAGATCCAGGACTGAGGCTGTAGATCCAGGTCTGAGGCTGTAGATCCAGGACTGAGGCTGTAGACCCAGGACTGAGGCTGTAGACCCAGGACTGAGGCTGTAGATCCAGGACTGCGGCTGTAGACCCAGGACTGAGGCTGTAGACCCAGGACTGAGGCTGTAGATCCAGGACTGAGGCTGTAGATCCAGGACTGAGGCTGTAGATCCAGGTCTGAGGCTGTAGATCCAGGACTGAGGCTGTAGACCCAGGACTGAGGCTGTAGACCCAGGACTGAGGCTGTAGATCCAGGACTGAGGCTGTAGACCCAGGACTGCGGCTGTAGACCCAGGACTGAGGCTGTAGATCCAGGACTGAGGCTGTAGATCCAGGACTGAGGCTGTAGACCCAGGACTGAGGCTGTAGATCCAGGACTGCGGCTGTAGACCCAGGACTGAGGCTGTAGATCCAGGACTGAGGCTGTAGATCCAGGACTGAGGCTGTACTTCCAGGACTGCGGCTGTAGACCCAGGACTGCGGCTGTAGACCCAGGACTGAGGCTGTAGATCCAGGACTGAGGCTGTAGATCCAGGTCTGAGGCTGTAGATCCAGGACTGCGGCTGTAGACCCAGGACTGCGGCTGTAGACCCAGGACTGAGGCTGTAGATCCCAGGACTGCGGCTGTAGACCCAGGACTGCGGCTGTAGACCCAGGACTGAGGCTGTAGATCCAGGACTGAGGTTGTAGATCCAGGACTGCGGCTGTAGACCCAGGACTGCGGCTGTAGACCCAGGACTGAGGCTGTAGATCCAGGACTGAGGCTGTAGATCCAGGTCTGAGGCTGTAGATCCAGGACTGAGGCTGTAGACCCAGGACTGAGGCTGTAGACCCAGGACTGAGGCTGTAGATCCAGGACTGAGGCTGTACTTCCAGGACTGCGGCTGTAGACCCAGGACTGAGGCTGTAGATCCAGGACTGAGGCTGTAGATCCAGGACTGCGGCTGTAGACCCAGGACTGAGGCTGTAGATCCAGGACTGAGGCTGTAGATCCAGGACTGAGGCTGTAGATCCAGGTCTGAGGCTGTAGATCCAGGACTGAGGCTGTAGACCCAGGACTGAGGCTGTAGACCCAGGACTGAGGCTGTAGATCCAGGACTGAGGCTGTAGACCCAGGACTGCGGCTGTAGACCCAGGACTGAGGCTGTAGATCCAGGACTGAGGCTGTAGATCCAGGACTGAGGCTGTAGATCCAGGTCTGAGGCTGTAGATCCAGGACTGCGGCTGTAGACCCAGGACTGCGGCTGTAGACCCAGGACTGAGGCTGTAGATCCAGGACTGAGGCTGTAGACCCAGGACTGAGGCTGTACTTCCAGGACTGCG